AAAGGCGATATCTTTTGCCTTTAGGAGGAGCTCGTGATTGAGACCTTGTGCATTTGTGAAGGTTTACTTTCATGGGATCTGCTAGTGCATCCAGAAGGTTGAGATGATTCCTCTATGATCTATGATTCAGTTTCAAACTTCCTTGGAATTGGAGTTGAAGGGGACTTCAAAGGAAGCGGAGGGAAACTGTTCCACTGAGTAGTTTTGATGCAACATAAGGTGAAAGTGATGGATTCAACATGATAGTCTCTTCCATCAGATCTGAATTCTGAAGAATCGAGCTGAACAAGGTAATTCTTAAAACTTGAATCTTCCATTTGGGATTGAAAAACATGGGAATCCTACAATGTATTGGAAACGAATCCTGATGGTTATTAATGTGAATTTTCATGGATTGGAGTTGAATTGCCCTCCAAGTGTTGTTGACAATGGAACTGTTGTTATAGAACAAGGAGTGGAGGTCGGAGAAGCACAATGGATAAATACCATTTAAGATTATGTTTTTAAGGTTTTGAAGATACATTTGACAATGCCTAAATAGGTAACTGAGAAGTGGGCAAAATTTGCTAAAGTCAAATTGTAAATTGTGATCGTAAGATGCTTATTTTTGGTGGTCGAAATGCTGAAGCTAAACACAGAGTTCTTGAGATCAGTTCTTGCATCTTTGAAAGGTACCCTTTGTTGTTATGCCTTTGGAGTGTTGATCAGATTTAACAAAGATTTACGAGAGGAACAATTCCAGTATGGACAGGACTCTCTCCTTTGGACTAATAATCTGAAATTTATGCCCATGGTCAAAGATGCTTGGAGCATACAAATTAGAGGATTTACATTGTTTCCTCTGATTCAAAAGAAGAGAAGGTTATGGCACAATTGAAGTGTCCAAGTAAGAATTATTTTTCTAACATTACATTTAGAGTGCAGGAAAAAAGAGCTTAGTTGCAAGATTTATGGTGTCAAAATTGATTGAGAAGCATGGATGAGGACATCAAAAGAACAGACAGATGTCATTTGCTGGAATACATGCACTTAATGATATTTGAAGAATACTTTTATAGACAAAAATCTTGAATGCAATGGCTTCTAAATGGTGATACGAGTACCTCTTTGTTCTTTTTTGTGATGAATGCTAGAAGGAACATCAATCAAGTATTTCTCAATATTATTGAGAAATGTTACTGATGAAACTGTTATCGAGCATGAATGCTCAATATTTTTGAAGATATGTTGGGCATGTATCATGGCGATAGGGAGACCATGGCAATAGAATATCTAAGCAACAAGATCTTTTGGTTGGCAGATCAACTCTTGCTGAGAAGTATGCGAACATGTTAATTAGGCTGATCAAGTCCAAAATAAAGGATTCTGTATCTTCAATCAAGGATGACAAAGCATCAAAGGTCGATACTTCCAAAGCATAGTTATATGGAATTGGTTGAGATGTTGTAGGCCCAGATGTTATTAATGTAGTTCAGGAGTTACTTCAGGAAGTTAGTAAGGCAAGTCAATGCAACTACACTTATGGCATTCCCAAACTCAAACACCCACCTAGTTTTTGTGATCTCTGGCCAATTTCATGTTGCAATGTAATGTATAAATGTATTACAAAGATTATCTTGAAATAGGAATAGTTTTTGTAATTAGAAAACTAATTAGCTTAAATTAGACAGCCCTTGTCCCTGACAACAAACAATAGAAAATGTGATGTTAGTCTAGAAGATCACAAAAGGTGATCACAAGTTTCTCCAAGATGCACTATGAAGATTGACCTTCACAAGGCCTATGACTATTAGATGAGATTTTATCAAAGATATGATTGTATATTGGGTTCCCTAAAAATGGTGTGCTGGATGATGACCATGCTTAACTACTTGGAAGCCCTATGCTTATGAATGGAACATGATAGATTATGACAGGTTACACATTTTTATTTTTGATAACAATGGAGTGCCGATCGCTTAAGGATAATAGAGATGGGAAAATGTTGACAATGTTTCATCCAAAATGCAACAAAATTCATCTCACCCACCTATGCTTTGCTGATGATCTTCTCATGTTCAGTGATGGGAATTCAGAAGCTGTTAATATATTGTATAATGTGTAAAATCTTTTCTGCAAATGTCAGACACGGTTGAATGCAGAGAAGAGCAACATATTCTTTGGTGGTGTTGATTCTGAAACAAATATCCTGCAATCTCTGAAGTTTGAGGAGGAACTACTACCTGTTAATTATCTAGGACTTCCTCTGATTTCTCTTGAGTTGAGTTATTGTTACTGCAAATGGATAGAAGTACTTCACAGGCAAGAAGCTGTATGCCAAAACTACTTAGTCAGGCAATCTTTGGCTCAATAAATCAATCTTGTTTGATCAGGCAAGTATGCTGAAGTAGTGTCTTTTTGCTCCTTCAAAGAGTACCAGAGAGGTGTAAAAAATGTTCAGAAATTTCTTTTGGGTAGGAGCAGAAATCAAGAAGAAAATAAAGCTTGATTGCGTGGAAGGTGCAGGAGCCCTTTGCAGGAGGTGATTTAGGGACTAAGGATCTTGGAGAATGGAACCAAGCTGCAGTGATTAAAAATTTATGGTTTTTAATAGCTAAGCCTCTTTATTGGCCAAATGGGTATGTGCCATGAAACTAGAAGATGGAACATGTGGGATGTAAAACCACCTAATGATTCCAGTTGGTCATAGCAGTAATTACTTAAGCTTCAAGAGAAGGTGTGTTATTTCATTAGTTTCGAGCAGTGATTTAAAAACACTAGGCGCCAAGGTCTGAAAATGCTCGAGGCGCTCGCCTTGGTGCTCATCCAAGCGAAACGAGATACTCTAAAATATTAAAAAAATAAAAAATAAAAGTATAATTAATAAATAGAGATTAGCAATGCTAAAATCTAAATAGAGATTATTATATGATAATAATAGTTAACAATATACTGTTAATAGTATTTAATCTACTATTAATAGTAGTTAAAGGGGAGAAAAGAGTCATTGACGGTTGAAAGTGGGGAAGGAGAGGCTGGCGGTGATAGAGGAACTTTCGGATGACGGCGGTAGTGACGGAGGAAGCTACGGACGACAGTAGCAGTAGTGGCGGAGGAAGCTTCGGACGACAGTAGCGGTGGCGGAGGAAGCTGCGGATGGTAGTAGTAGGGACGGAGAAAGCTTCGGATGGTGAAAACGGCAATAGTGGAACTGTGGACGGTGACATCATGGGCGGAGGAAGCTTTAGATGAATCCATCGGTGGCAGAGGAAGTTGTGGTCCTCTCCCTCGATGGTGGAAGGAGGTGCACATGGAAGCAGTGGCGGTGGAGGGAACTGCACACGAAAGCTAGAGCTTTGGACTCGTTCATTGGCGGTAGAGGAAGCGTTGGTCCTGTGTATCAGTGGCGGAGGCAATGGCAAAGGAAGTGACGACATCGAAGGCAGTTGTTGCGTACAACATAGGGTTTATGTCTTGGGATCGTGCGAGGGGGGCACAGGGGTAGGGTTTGCGTGCACAGGTTATATAGCTTGGTTCAATCGAACCACCTAAGCTACTGTTCAACTGAATGCTTTAGTTCAATCAGGCGCTCGTCCGAGGTGCCTGGGTTTCAGGCGAGCGCCCAGGTGACGCTTCACCGAAGCGTGCCGCTTGGTCGAGGCTTGAGGCACTCATGCCTTGCCTCACCCAAGCGCCCAGGCATCTCTTTAAACCTCTGGTCTCAAGTTTAGGAATTAGGATCAACTCAGTTTTGGTGTGATTCTTGCATGGGTGGAGGCTCTCCCGTATCAAGATATAATCAAGTTGGGGTTAATGTTAATATACCCACGAAGGAAAGAGTTCTTTTAAGTTAATTAACCATGATGTTAATATATATATATATATATATATATATATATATATATATATATATATATATATATATATATTAGCTAAGATTGTGTTCTTTTGGCAGGGAGAAAGAATTGGCTGCTGTTAAGATCAATCCCATCGATGTAGACATCATCGCTAATGAACTTGAGGTGAATATATTTCCTTTCTCGCTGTTTGAAGAAAGGCGATCAACCTACAACAGTATTTCATTTGCTACTTTATGCAGTTGGACAAGAAGATTGCTGAGAGAACACTGAGGGAGCACAAAGGTGATGCAGTTGCTGCTGTTCGCTACCTACTGCGCTGAATACTTGCTGTTGCATGATTTTGTAGCAATATAGTGCCGTGGCTGCACTTATTTGTTCGAATGTTCCAGTGTTGTCAACATTTATATGAAAGATTTTTTTTTACTCTTTAGCCCTTCAGATGTTGAGCTGTTGAGTGTCAACAAATGGTTGCTGAATCATGAAATTGCTATTGGTGGAAGCTTGGTGTTTTTTGCTGAATGCTAAAGTTATGTGCCTCATGTTCTGGAATTCAATTGCTTCAGTGTGTATATACATACACACACATTTCATGTCAAGATCCTTCAGTTTAAATTATACTTTGTCTTTGTTCCACCTTTGATTTAATCCACTTGCTGTAGTTTTCAGTGTGCGCAGGTTGCTGTAGTTTGGTACCCTTCTTTACACATGTTTAGTGTCTGTGTGGTGTTATCCTTTCGTCTCTGCTCTCGGGGAAGTTTCACTCAATCAGTTTGGGAGTTGTAATTGTTGTCTGATGCAAGTAAAAATTGTTCTTGCATGGCATATCAATTATCCAGGCAGATAAATGTCATTTAAATGATACATTTTGATGCCATGAGGAAACTGTTCTGATTAGGATTTGGATCACGTAAATAGTCTCCTATGACCTGTCAACTAATTACCAAAATCTTCTATTGTTTCAGCCACCAAAATTTTCCTCTTTAAAATGATGTCAACACATAGACAAAGGTACGCACAGCAATTATATGGAAGATGTTTTCCAAAGATATATTGGTAAAAATTGAGAAACAATTCAATCATAGCTCCAAACTTGTGGATATTACAATGTACCTGATCATCTGAGTAGGTTTCATAATAAGATAATATTTGATCACTGAGATATATCCATGCAATGTCTAAGAATTTACCATTAGAGTACACCAAAAAATTCATTGCCACAAACTTTAATCAAATGTTCTCTCAAAGAAGGAACCCTCTCTCTTTATACAAGGCTTCTTACATTGGCTTCATAAGCAGCTATGCTTGGTGAAAGAGCAGAGCAAGCAAATTAAAGAAACCTTATTACACATAATCTATGACTACATACAAGAGTGTGGATAAATATTTTTGCCCCATAACATCGAATTGTAGCTCTCTCCATCCTATAAGAAGAAATACGAAGGTTGGCTGATGCACATGGCTCTCGATCTAATTAAGTTGAAGCTAGCTATTCTTGTCATAATAATTCATGCAACCATAATGATAGAAGTGACTTGTGAAGCAAATGCTGAATCTACAACCGTAGGACTTGCAATATTGGAATCAAGTTCAAGGGATTAGCTGACTGCACCCGCTTGTCGTGGAGGAGAAGGATGTTTACTGTGCCAGACTCCCTTAACCAGGCAGTGACTGTTGCACCTGCTGACACAAAACGGCCAACATTGAACTTTTCCAAGTGGAATGGGGCTCCCATTGAGTTGAGCAGTGTCTCGATGACACGGCGAAGAGTGCTAGCACCAGCCACCTTGCTATGTTTTCCCCATCCTGTCAAAATGCTGTGACAAACTAGTAGTTTAGCAAAATGGGGAGATCCAACATGAATGATTTGGACGTCAAATTTAGATTGCCTTAGATATTTAAGTTCTTAAGAAAGTGCATAGAGAGAGAACCAGGAAATGCAACAAGGAAAAATAAATCAACAGCTAGATCTCACAGAAATGCCTTAGGATATTCCAAAGAGAACTAACAAAATTCTCCCCTCTAATACCTTTAAGGAAACTAAAGAATCAGATATGCATGAGATAATAAAAAAATTAGACCGTTCCTAAATGTCTATGTCATAAACCGGAAAAGGACAATAGTCCTATACTTGATAGGCGAGACATGAGTGCAAAATTTAAACAATCAAAGCGCTTAGATTTATTTGCTGGAGTTTTCTAAATGATTTGATCACACACACACATTTGTTGATCTTGGTATTCTCCTTTAAGGCTCAATCCATATGATTAATAGGTATAAAGCAGTAGTCGTTCCATTCTCATGTTTTGGCATGTGTTTTGAATGGAAAACTCAGACTAGCAGTAAGTATTTGTCATAACATGGAAATGGATTATACCTCACATATTCAGGTAGCTTACGCCCTTCAAAAACAATAGAGTGCATACTAAGAAGCCATGCATGAACCATTGCTTGGGCAGCACCAACAGACATGAGATGCAGATCTAGACTATATTTAGTCCAAGTATTCTCCCAAACATGCCGGTGCACACCTTCAAGCACAACCTGCTGAGCTCCTCGTCTCTGTGAAAGGTAAGGAAGGAGACAGTAAATGTAGATGCTTTAAATTTTGATGCAGCTAAATACATGCAAAAAAAGAGATGCAATCTCAACTGTGTAGATAAAATAATATATTCAAAATTATACCAAACATTTCTTTTTGGTATAAAAACAAATGTTATATACATTCAACGACCAACTTTTAGTAAATATTTATGTGAAAACTTTCAAGGTCACAGCCATCATTTTGCTAGTTAATTTTAATATTGAGTACTGATAGCTCATTGAGGACAATAATGAAAGCATTTGCACGTATGCTAATCTGAAAAAAAAAAAAAGTTGTATACAGAAGTGCACCTATATTAAGGGGTATATATGCAAAAAATATACTGAAATTGAGGCACTTTAGGAGCAAAGTCAGTTGGTCCCTCTAAAAACATCATATGCACTTTGTCTTCATGAATCTTAATAAAAAAAGTTATTGCCAGGTTCAGTGTCAAAATAAGAAAAGAATCCTTCAGAGGAAGTCAGAGAAACTACTACCAGTTGCATTATGATACCATAATCATCTTCACTGACAACTTCTAGAAACAGTAGGAAGAGGCAAAAACAAATTAAGGGTAGATGTATACGTTCTTGTCAAGCATACCTGCCCAAAATGCCATAGCATATCAGTCAGAGCATTGTAGAAGGCAGATGATGTTGGAGGATCCATCCGCCTCAATTCATCAAAAAGTGACTGAGCTTGTACCCATGCCTCTCTACTGCCCATTAGAAGTCCATGTGCAACACCATATACAAAGTTATCAAATAACCGAAGTTGTTCTAGTAACAAGGATGCATCTTCAAATGAATTACACCGGCTGCAAGATCAGTTGTATGGTGAAACGAAATTTAGAAAAAAAAAGTAGAACATTTGATAGAATTCCAAATATTATGTAGTGAGTGAATCAAACAATTAATTGATTCTAAGAGCAAATATAAAGTTACCTGCAAGCATTAAGGATAGCAGAGAATGTCACCACATTAGGCCTCACCCCCTGCTGGATCATCTTTTGAAACAACCCCAAAATGCAAAGCAGCTCCTCAGACCTCCTCCTAGAGTCTTCTACCACAGCACGACCTATTCCCTTGGCCAGCTGACCAAAAGCACCAACAATCTGGCCTCCAGATCCCTCAACACCTGCCAACTCATTTCCAACTCCACCATCCTCAACAACGATTCTAGGCTTACCAAAGGCATCGATTATAGTGTTGTATGTGACTACATTGGGTTCGATTCCCATCCTCGTCATCTCATCAAGCAACCACACGGCACAGTCCACCAATCCATTCTTAGCCAAAGTATCAATGAAAGAACTATACAAGACCACATCTGCCTTCAAACCTGATTCTTTGAACTCCAAGAACACATTTGCTGCATCACCATACATTCCTGCCTTTGAATAAATATCTATCAGAGTTGAGTAGGTTAGTACACTTGGTGAAACTCCCCGATCTCTCATCTCTTGAATCAAATAACCGACAATATCAAACCTGCCCTGCTTTCCATGCCCATTGATCAAACAATTGTAAGTGACAGTGTCCTTGTCAACACCTGTAACATCCATCTCATTACAAACTCTCACGATATCCTCATACCTTCCGGTCTTCACATAGATTGAAAGCAATGTATTATAGCAGACCCTATCTAACCCAATTTTCAAAGCTTTCATCTTTTCATAAAGATTCAATGCCTCATCAAACTGTTCCAATTTCGAGTACCCATCCATCAAGGTACTATATGTGACTACATTTGGTTGCACGCTGTTCATGGGCATGTCTAACGTGACCTGTAGTGCAAGCTCCATGTTACCACACTTGCATATTGCGTCAATGAAGGTATTATAAGTGTAGATGTCCTGGCCGATTCCCAGATGAATCATTTCATCAAAAACCATCCGTGCATCTTCCAAATGCCCAGCACGACTGCATGCAGCAAGAAGAGAATTGAAAGTCTTCCTATCAGGGAAGAGCCCGTTGTGGAGCATCTCCCTGAAGAACCCAAGCGTGAGCTGGAGGTCAACCCCACCCTTACCACAGGCATCAATTACAGCGTTATATGATATGGTGGTGGGCTTCAAGCCGGCTGCCTTCATCATCTCAAGAACGTCCATCGCCTTCATGGCGAGCCCACTCCGAGCATATGCCGAGATGAGTGCAGAGTGTGCATATATTGTATTCGCATACCCACTAGATAAACCAACATCAAAAACCTTCCGTGCAAGGTCAGGGCAGCCCATCCTGCCGAGCCCACCAATGGCAGCTGTCAGTAGCTTCCCCTGCTCGGTGAGGCTCTTCATGAGGGGCATGGCGGAGTTGAAAAACTTGAGAGCCTTGAGCGGGCACTTTTGGCGGTTGCCGAGTTCATGCAGTATGTAGCAGTAGTCTTCCGGAACGGCAAGGTCGAGCCGAAAGCTAGTCACGATGTCGCCGAGGGGGTGGTCATCAGGGCCGGACCGAAGGATTTGAAGGAGGCATCGCGCGGCGGCAGGAGATGCGGCACGGGCACTGCTCTGCGATGGCCTCGGGGAGCTGAGGTTCCTTTTCGAGATGACTCTCGTGGTGCGATTACGCCGGAATTCGGGGGTCAGACCAGCTCCCTGCTGGGGGTAGTAAGGCAAGAAGGCCGGATTCCGGTCCAAGATCCCATTTTTATGGGAAGATGAGGAGGCAGGAGCGCTGCTGCTACCAGCAGAAGCGCTGGAGGCGATGGTGGTGCTGGCGGCGCCGCCGCATGCGCCAGCGCTGCTACTAGCTGCAGCAGAACCAGAAGAGGAGGAAGAGTGGAGCCTATGGGAGCTCCTGTGGCGGCTCTGGTGGTGCTTCTGGAGGGGGTTTTGAGGCGTTGGGTGGGGGGTATGGTGCGGTTTAGGAGTGGTGATGGAGTAGTGAGGGGGAGTGGAAGAAGCCATGAGAGATGGGCAGCTTGTGAGATCAAGAGCAGTGGACACTACTGCAAGTCCTCGAGCAACGAAGACATGAGCTCAGCACCAAGCGAAGAGGATCAGACACTCTCTGAGATCAAAGAGCAAACAAGGAATAGGCATGGAAGTGAAGGAAGACTCAGAAACAAGGCACAGTCGTTGGCATCAGGAAAAAGGGCAGGTCTTGGGGAGATTGGGAGACAACACGGGGAAGGAAACAGAAGAGGAAATTGTCAGGATAGAGATCTGATGGCCATGGATGGAGCGAGAGGTGGAAGGGCCGTGTAGAAGGGGATGAGATATGTGGATGAGGAGGTCAACAAGCTTGTGGCTGTAGTAGTCACAAGAACAAAGAGTGTGCGAGAAGGAACATATGCAATGAGGTTGGAAATGTTCTTCATATTGCTATTATATATATTTTTGTTTTTATATACCTATTTTTTATATGTTTGAAAACAACATATTAATCTTTCAAAAATTGTAATACAATATATATATATATATATATATATAATTCATATATACTTTTTAATACTTATTTAGTATTTTTCAAATTAATGATGACTACTGATAATTAATATTTACCGATTTGACTTCAAAATATTTAAATACATTAAATATTATAATATACTTACAATCATAATGTTTCTATAGAATATTGATGTCTTCTAAAGTTTGAACTAATAGTTCAATGATTTAATGCTCACTAATTTGAGTTCACAATACTTAGATATATGAAACATTTCACTTTTATAATCATAATGAGTTTTTAAAGAGTATTAATTTTATATAAAATTTTTATTTATAATTTTTTAAGATTTTGTAAGGATATATATCAAATTTATATTAGATAAATATATAAATATCTTTGTTCTTGTTGTTGTATATCTTTAAGTTTTTGAGTTTGAAGGTGTATATATATATATATATATATATATATATATATATATATATATATATATATATATATATATAAGAGTTTGAAGGTGTATATATATATATATATATAAACCAATAATTTTGGCCAATATGAGTTGAAAATTAGATTTATTGAAGACTAACTGAATCGGATCAATAATGCATCTGATTTCGATATCCGTTCCGAGATTTCGGAGGTGAAAGTGTTACATCCGTAGCCTTTATCGATTTCGGATCCTGACACGAGTGGATCCCGACCAAACCCGACCCATTAATGGACTAAGATAAAATCTGTGTTCGCTGTTCCGTTCCCGCCAGCTAATCATCGTGCATCACTTACTTTTCCCGCCAAAGCCACAACCGCGCCGCCCTTTTCTTCCCGCTCCTCCCTCGCTTCTCAACACCTCTTCATCTCCCTTCTCTTCGTTTCTCTGCATCTCCTCATCCCTCTTTTTCCATCCATGGCAGCGTTGAAGAGCGTCGATTTCGCGGTCGATAAAGGTAATCCCTTCCTCTCTTCTTTGATTGTCGCCGATCACTTCCGTAGCTTTTGTTCTCATTTTTCTTCGCTTTCTTTCGCGATTCTTGTGCAGCCCTCGCCAAGGATTTCCTCAACAACTTCGCCGACGCCCTCGGCGAGCCCAAGTACCTCAATATCCTCGTAATCTCCCTCTGTCTCTTCTCTTTTCTGTGTCGTACTAGTCAAAGTAGTTGGTTGGTCCCGTTTCCGAACCCTAATTTTTGTTCCTCTCCTTTGCAGCAAGATGTGGCAAACCGCAAGCGGCGAGCCATCCATATCGAACTCGACGACCTCGTTGATGTGTGTATCCAGTTCATCCTCTTTCTCTCTCTCTCTCTCTGTATATGTGAACCTTGGGTTTTTATAGTGGTGTTGGATTGTTTGGTTGTCAGTACAAGGATTTGGATGAGGCCTTCTTGCAGAGGGTCACAGAGAACACCCGGCGCTACATTAACATATTTGCGGAGGCCATCGATGAGCTCATGCCAGAGCCCACGGAGGTTTTCCCGGTCGACGAGGACCGTGACATTCTCATGACGCAGAGGGTGGATGATGGAATGGATAACGTGGATAACTCGGATCCGCTCCAGAAGATGCCTTCTGAGATCAGGCGCTTCTTGTAAGTTAATTGAAACTCTAAAATTCTCTGTCTTGCCTCCTGTTTTTCTTTGGTACTTCTTACTGAATGAAGTCCTCTAAATTGCTGCTTGTCTCGTTATAATTGAGTAAGACATCATTTTTTTCTTAAAAGAATGTGATTCGTAATGTGCTAGTGGTGCTTTTGTGATAATTTGAAGAAGTCATTCCGCTTCCTGAGGTGCGCCAGAATTAAGTGTCACCTAAGGGCATCCTCATTAATGAGAATAGATGACACTTGATTCTCAAATGGAAGGCATGCCTAGGTCATCTTGGATCCTCTTTTTCTAAGATGTACATTTGCAGGCCAAATGGCCAATCATGCGAGGATATGAATTTTCCTTTTATATGGAGAAAATCAATGAGGCCCCAAGAGAGTATCTTGTTTCAACTTCTGCTGTGTGGATCTTGATGGTTCCACATGCTTTTTGCTCTTGTCAGGAAAACTTTATTGCCCCTAAAGCCCTGTAAGTTATATATCTTATTAGTGGTGAGAAGAGTGTGAATAATTTATAAACAAGGAACTTCAGAGTCCTCTGTTGGCCATTGAAACATTGTCAAGCAAAAGAAGCTAGTCAAGTAGTTTTCCTGTTGGTTATCATTTTAGATGGAGTTCCAGTATCCAATTGTATTAGACATGATGGAACTAACTAAATGTTAATGGTTGGTGAAAGTATGTTCCAATTCATAATAAGTGCCAGTCATCATTGCTGTACATGCTTGAATTAAAATATGAATATCCCAATAGAACATATGTGCCTTCAGAAAAAAGATGATCCTACTAAGTATATACTGCAGTAGAACCAATTAGATCAATTTATAGGCAAAACATATTGTTTCAAAGATGTCTAAAGAAAATACATGATTTCTGATTTACTATTTGATTTCTTTTCTATTCTTTTTGAAAGAAGGGTGGATAAGTCCACCCTCATTCTCATTTAATGAGAAAAAGCACATAAATTTTTTTGGTAATAGGATAAGACAATACTATTGAAGGTTTTCTCCAATTCATGTATCAAGAGCCTCTTAAATAATCAACTAGATTTCTTTCTTAGAATAAAGAAGAAAAATAACAACCAAGCCTGCATCTTAAAGGCTTATGTCTTCATAGGATTACCAGTCCCATAGTCTTGTAACTGACTAGGTTTGGAACATGAACTAGTCAATGACAATTCATACATGCTGGAAATACCAATATAATATCATTAAATATTTGACTGCTGCTGTCACTTCAGTCATGATCATAAACTAGTCAATGGCAATATGGACTTATTTACTGTTTGCACAGTCCATATGAACCACATAATTTCGCCTCTATTAGGGCTATGGATCCCTATTTTAGTAAGATAAGGACTATCTATTGATACCTTTCCTTTCTCATCCAAGCCTCTTGTCTTATGCCAATCAATTGCATCCGTTGTGTTGATTGTTATTTTAGTTTACTGCTGGATTGTTTTTATAAAAACCTTATTTAGCTATTTATTTTTTCTTTACGATTTATGCCACTATACTGGATTATCAACCTAATTTTCCTGCCTATAAATGTTATTATTTAATCTCTTTTCATTTTTGCTGCATTGAACCTTGCCTTATTAACATGATAATCATTGTGGCTTCTAGTGAAGTATACATAAAGGCATTCTCCAAGGGAACTCCATTTACTGTAAGACAAGTCAGAGCATCACATATTGGACAGCTTGTGAAGATTTCTGGCATTGTAACACGTTGCTCAGATGTTAAGCCCTTGATGCAAGTTGCTGTTTATACTTGTGAAGACTGTGGTTTTGAAATTTATCAGGTATTGTCTTTCTGAATGCATGTAACTTGTCAATTTTCAAATTGTCATCTTTCAAATTTATTAGGAATGTGCCAAACTGCCAATTCCTCATTTTCTTTCATTAAAAAATATCATTCATCAATTATATGTCTGAATACCGTAACAGTTATCTTTATCTTTCATGACTTCTTGTTTCTTAAGCAGAGACTCCAGGAATATGACAACTATTGTTTCCTTTTTGTCCATAAAACTATTATTTGTTAACATATGTATCAGAATTGTCGCTTCTGTTCTGTATGGTTTATCCTAGTCATCGAGGATGATGGCTAGAAGCTGATGTGATATAAATGCCTACTCATTTTTTTCATAAGTGGGTTTTTCTCATGAATTAACAGTCACCTATGGTGATCTCTATGCTGATTTTGATAGCATAAATACTTTAACACTTAGCAAGCTAAGATATACTTCCGAGAATGTTTTAATTTGGCAACTACTTCTCTGATATAATATGATAGGTAGCTTGACCTCACCTGATGTTTTTCTTTATTGTTTTGTTGGTCTACTTATAACTAATACATGTGTCTTTATTAATTGCTTGTTTCTTTGATGTATCATTATCAGGAAGTGACTGCTAGGGTCTTTATGCCCCTGTTCGAGTGCCCATCAAATCGCTGCAAAATAAATAAAGCTAAGGGAAATCTCATACTTCAGCTTAGAGCTTCAAAGTTTTTAAAGTTTCAAGAGGTAAAGTCTTAAGCTTATATCTATATGAAAAAAAGGATTGGACAGACTAACTGATCTTTTAGAACTTACATCTTATGATTGATGATTTAGGAGAGATGACATGTTTTCAGGTTTTCTTGCTATTTGTGCAAGAGTTGGCATCTATATGAGGGAAAATTGAGTCAAATGAAGGTTGTTTGGGATGTTTTTGTCTCTACAAGTTAGGGACAGAACTTAAAATGATCTGGGCCAAAAATGTCAAATTGAAGAGCAAGATCAAGGTGTCACAGTAATAGTGGTCTAACCAACTTATGCAAAACCCGATTCGATTATGCTTTTACCTCTGTTCTCTTTTTTCTTCCATTTTCCTTTTTTGTATGTATATTTATTTAGATCTTCTTTCCCACTTATAGCTTCTGAAACACTAGACTGCATCCATATAAATTTGGTGCCAGTAAGGTCATAGTGGAAGAACCCTAAAAATGAAGCCTTATAAAAATTGTTTTCAAGATTCTTCGGTGTAAAGTAGTTTATCTTGAACAAGATTCAAACTTTGGAACAATTATGTGACCATGTTTCCTCTTCATGGTTAGCCTTATCTTTGTTTTTTATTCTCCAAGCACTTCAATACATGTTTTCTTCCTCTTCTTACTTTGAAATAAGCAATATTTACTCCACTTTTCGTATCTGTCTTATTAGATATTGAACCCATAGCATTGTTTGGCAGGAGGTTTTTGATATATAATCTCTTCTACTTCTGGAATTTATTGTGATTTCCTTGTTGGTTTTTCCTATTTTTCAGCTGAATCACTCCTGATTTTTTCAGTTACTGCCGCTTTCATGAATCAAGAGGATGATTATTTGATTTATTCTAGCTAAGATGACCATCTTCTATCTCATTTTCTACCTGGCCTGGGATTGAAGCAGAATGGCTTATATATGCTTGAATTGGCCAAGACAGTAAAATTTTGATGGTTGTTTCTCTTTGTTATCAGTGAAAGCAGCATTATCAAGTTTGTTCTGTTTAGTAGTATCTATAACATCTTGTCTGATGTTCTGAGATTTATCAAAATTCTAAATGGATTGTCTTGTATTCTTGTTCATGCATTTGTCGCCTATTTTTATTGTTAATGGTCTAATTCTTTGTTGCGGTTTACAATTTACATGCAGGCAAGAATCCAAGAGTTAGCAGAACATGTTCCAAAGGGACACATTCCACGTTCTTTGACCGTTCATCTCAGAGGCGAACTTACTAGAAAGGTTAGCATATTTAAGTGACATTTAACCTTTTTTTATCCAGTTTCTTCTATTTCCTTTGGCTGGGGCAAATAAGAGCAATTGCTGCTTCTCTTCAGACCGCATGTGAATAGAATCCTAAGGCATCCAACATATAAGGATAACTGTGACATCTTTCCAACTTCTCCTTGATTTGCATTGGAAGATGCACTTCTGAGTTTTTTTCATGATTATGATATTTAGCAATATATATATCTTTGCTTGAGAATTTTTGGATCTTTTGCCTTTGGCAATTCTATTCCTTTATGAAAGGTCAAAATTCATCTTACCTGATCAATGGAATAAAGGCCACTGCATTAACAGCTATTCTGTCAATGACTTATTTTGATCCTTCTCTTTGGACGCTTTATTCTTAAAGAGCTGCAAATGGATTAAGTTTGGACAATCTAGTTTATATTCCAGGGCTATATGATAATCTTATGCAAGTGATATGAACATCACATATTTTGCAATTAATTTACAAAGGTTTCTTTTTCAGTTTGGTTAGGGTAATATTTTTTTTAGCTAATTTGGCAGTTTCATATCTTTTGGGAAACTTGATGCAAATGTTCTGGATGGTGCTTTTTGGTATTAACAGGTTGTCCCTGGTGATGTGGTTGAATTGTCAGGGATCTTTCTTCCTATTCCTTATAGTGGATTCAGAGCACTTCGTGCAGGTTTGGTTGCAGATACATACTTGGAGGCTATGTCCATCACCCACTTTAAGAAAAAATATGAAGAGTAAGTCATTGTCCATTGACCTATACATATTGTCTTTATATTGATTCAGATGAGTGTCATTGTAACATTGACCATTTGTTGTGTTGCCTATCTATTGTTTTTTTAAATGGCTGGTTGGATGAAAAATTCTTGCAAATATCTGTTAACTCATGAGTTCATGGAATTATGTTGTCAGACATGGAGATGCCTTAAACAGCATTTTTTCACTTATTCTTACTTTTTTTTTCTAAATTTTGGCATTTAGGCTACACACTTACCATCCCGTAACCCCACATTGGCGGGAGACTCTTGTGCTGGGCCCATGCTTTTTAATTGTTCTTGATGTTGCAAATGAGGAGGCAATTGTGTTGGATTGAACATTATAGGCTGTACATAAACATTTAGATCTTGATATGCTTTAGTTAGTATTCTCAACATGCTGTTCATGCATTAAAGAGTGTGGGGAATGATCTTAGTTTGCTCCATGTCATAATTGACTTCTTTCATATTCTTTGTACTTGACAAACAAGGAAGGCATGTAAAGCATCATTTTTAGTGCTTTTTGTTCTTGATAGGATTTAACATTCTAAGCTATTGCATGATATTGACTTGCTAGGCAAGTTCTTTATCCTTCTACACAATTCTTTTTGGGTCATCCTGCAATACTGGATAACATACTTTATCAGTTGGTACTTGTTAACATACTAGGCATTCTGATCATCATAATAGCTAAAGTCACAGTTCAAACAACTGGCCCGACTGGTATGTACCGACCAACATTTATCGGTTTGATCTGGTTTCATCATGTGGACTGGAAGATTTCACCCAGTTCATATCAAAACTGAGTTTGAAACTTCCCTGAAGTTCTTGTTTCTGATTCCTCACTACTAATAACAAGTTAATTATTCAACCCAATGATGTAGATCAATGGAATCTATGATGACATGACAATTTGTCACATTGACAATCGAAATTGAACCGTGGAAGGCTGTATAAATACACCTACTAATAGATCTCAACAAGGTAACAAGGTAAAATGATTATGATCAACTCAGTTATTTACATGCCTCAGTTTTGGATGTTGTTAAATGTCTTCAATTCTTTGATATATGAACATTGCAGATATAATTTAGTCCTAACCCCTAAGCCCCTCTAGCAAAGCATGCTAGTGACAAGTGAGTCTGTCAATTTCAATGACTTAGTTAACTTCATGTTATTATTTAATCTTCCATGCAGCTATGAGCTTAAAGCTGATGAGCAGGAACAAATTGAACGACTAGCTGAGGATGGTGATATATATAACAAGTTGGCAAGGTCATTGGCACCAGAGATATTTGGCCATGAAGATGTCAAAAAAGCTTTGCTTCTACTTCTTGTGGGTGCTCCTCACCGCAAGCTCTCTGATGGTATGAAGGTGAGTGGTGCAATTTGTTGTGGTCTTCCGATATTTTACCAAGACAAAGCCAGATTGACCTAACTATATGTTTTCCTTGAATTCACTTTTTGGCCTTGGAAAAACTATATCTTATTTGGATGCTAGTTATGCTTTTCTAGTCAGAGGCTGCTAAAAATATATGGCTTGTTTGAGGTAAAGTGGTGAATTATGTCATCCCTCCTCTCATTGATAAATGAATAGCCTCTTCCTCTTCTGCCTCAGAGTCCTATTCACAAGTGCATGTGATATGCTATGCTTCCTTATAAAACCATGAAATTAGCATATCATGATAACATTCTGTTCTGTGTTACTACCATCTGGAAAACCTTGAATGAGATAACATTGATTGTGCAGATAAGAGGAGACCTGCATATCTGTTTAATGGGAGATCCTGGAGTGGCAAAAAGTCAGTTACTCAAACACATAATAAACGTTGCACCAAGGGGAGTGTATACTACAGGTCGAGGGAGCAGTGGGGTTGGTCTAACTGCCGCTGTCCAGAAAGATCCTATCACAAATGAAATGGTGCTTGAAGGAGGAGCGCTGGTGAGTCATCCTGTTCTTTGTTTACCTTATTTTCTTCAACTAATGTAGAATCTCAACCAAATATATGTCACATTTGTAAGATATCATGCACCAATAATCTAGTTAATTCTTCCACTTAATTTCTTTTTGTGTTCAAAAACCAAACTTATCTTGACATTGATTCAGCTGATGGAGATGGACTCTCATTCATCATCATATCATCTGGCATGGGATATTCCCTAATAAATTAGTACTTGTTAACGAATAATTGTAGCTGATTTTGTTGAAGTAGGAATTCTGACCATACAAATTTGTGTTTAACCACATTGTTGATTACCTTCTGGCTTGTTTTATGCTAGCTGTCATTCAATTCAATAAACATCTGTTATATGCGATACTGAGTTTGTTCTGTCAATTGACTTATTGGCGAGCTTTCTTTGGAATTATTTGGAGAAGTAGAACAGAATAAAACATAGGAAACGAATTAGTTAACTTTTCCATAATTAGAACCTGTGGCTGATTCTCTTCACTTTGTGCATCTGATTCCAGATAAGCTTGTATTGTCATGTTCAAAGCCCCTTCTATATTTATTGTAAAAAAGCAGGTTGGTGAAACTCTTTTTTAAGTTTCAGGTGTTAGCTGACATGGGCATATGTGCAATTGATGAGTTTGACAAGATGGAAGAATCAGATAGAACTGCAATCCATGAAGTGATGGAGCAACAGACAGTAAGCATTGCTAAGGCTGGCATTACCACCTCTCTTAATGCAAGAACGGCAGTTCTTGCTGCTGCCAATCCAGCCTGGTACAGAATGAACCATAAGATATCCTATTTTTCTTCTTACAAATGGCTTTCACTATATGATCTTACATATGGCTGCCGGTAGGTGATTCAAAATCTTTCGTTCTCAGGGGAAGATATGATCTACGGAGAACTCCAGCAGAAAATATCAATCTTCCTCCAGCTCTTTTATCACGTTTTGATCTCCTATGGTTAATTCTGGATCGTGCAGACATGGATAATGATCTTGAAATGGCTAGACATGTTGTCTATGTGCATCAAAATCTTGAATCGCCTTCACTTGGATTTACACCACTTGAACCTTCTGTTTTAAGGTAATTCTTCAAAATGGAAAGGTGGTTGTTGCACTAGCAATTAGTGAAATGTAGTAATTAGTTCCATACAATATCTCTCAAGCCTAATATATACCCTGAGCCAGGATCATATTCAGAATTTGGAATTATTGTCTTGAGACAAAAAAAAGAATCACTGATACCCAACACATTCTTATTTGTTCAACTTTGTTCTTAATTTTCCTTGTTGTGTTACTAGTACAAGTCACTACAGTTTTGGCTTCTTAATTATTGTCATCATCGATGGTATTCTTGTACTATATTCTGCACAAATAAAATGTCATTCTTTGGACACAGAGCTTATATTTCTACTGCAAGAAGAATAGCTCCTTCCGTGCCAAGGGAGCTTGAGGAGTACATTGCTACTGCATATTCTAGCATCCGCCAAGATGAAGCCAAATCAAATGCACCACACTCTTATACAACTGTCAGGACTCTTCTTAGCATTCTCCGGATATCTATCGTAAGCTAACCCTTATCTCTCAAAGCAAATCTGACTCAGTTATATGGTTTTTTTTTTCTACTAACATCATAACTCTGATTGATTAACAAGAATTGTTCTCTCTATCTATTTTGTGAATTTTGAAGAATATCTAAAAGACAATTGACTTTTCAAAATTGCAGGCCCTAGCAAGGCTTCGATTTTCGGAGACTGTAGCTCAAAGTGATGTGGATGAGGCACTGCGTTTGATGCAAATGTCAAAGTTCTCATTGTACTCGGATGATCGCCAGAAATCTGGCCTAGATGCCATATCTGATATTTATTCTGTCCTGCGAGATGAAGTTGCCAGGACAAACACCATGGATGTGAGCTATGCTTGTGCTCTTAACTGGATATCCAGAAAGGTTAGCTGATAGTACTATTCTTATTTGTTGTAGTAACAGTTGGAAAATTAACTTATGCTTAAAGTAATTTTTCTGATGAACTTTGCTCTTCTGATATAATTCGAACAGGGATACAGTGAAGGTCAGCTGAAAGAATGCCTAGAGGAATATGCTGCGTTGAACGTGTGGCAGATCCATCCCAACACCTTTGACATCCATTTCATTGACGCCTAACGCAGTCACCTTGTAAAATAGAAGCCCTCTTGGAAGTCCAAATGTTTCAAGTGTCGAACTTGAAAGATCCTGCTGTCACCCTTCGGAGAGCTCAACCATCATACTGTAGTTGATATTTGTGTACACTTGTTGCTGAATGTTTCTATACTGTAGTTGAACATGATTCTATACTGTAGGTAGCAGCAACTAGAGATGTAGGCCCTAATTCCCATCCTTTTTAATCTATTGCCGCATGTTGCGACAAAGATTAGTGCATGTGTTTAGGGACATGGAAGACTGCGACAAATTGAGGTCATTTAGGCCATACAAGTCTAAAAGCAGGTTCACGAGGGCCTCTGTATAATCGCACTTGTCTTTGACTGTTATTACAGAAGTACTATCCCGTTACAAAAGCCATCTTATCGAAATTATAAGACAATATCATATATATTTTATTATTTATCTTCGTGATTAACAAAACTAATCTAAATCATACTTATTTTTCTGAAGCCCAAATTAACATGCTTATAACATAATTGTACGCATAAAACGTTCGTCCAAATGCTTACGTAATGTGCGGTCTGTGCCTCCGCACGGATTTGCGATAGTGGCAGCGCGGAATGGCCACGTAAGCCTCCACCCGAACCATTTGCCTGCGACTCCTCCCCATATCTGGGTTCCATTCCTTTGCTGCTCCCCTCCCATCGCCGAGATTTTTGTTTGATTTCCGGTGTTTTGGTTGGTGACTTCGGCTCAGAACCCATTCCGACCGCCGGATCCGTTCTCTTCCGGCCGGAATCCGGCGAGATCTCGCGGCGATCCGATAGATCCAGTCGCGTTCGGGGCGGATCCACTCCGGCGGCGATGTTCCTCGTAGATTGGTTCTACGGCGTCCTGGCCTCGCTGGGCCTGTGGCAGAAGGAGGCCAAGATCCTGTTCCTGGGGCTCGATAATGCTGGAAAGACGACGCTGCTGCATATGCTCAAGGACGAGGTTTCACATTTGATGGGTTCCTTCTGGAGCTTTCCAATTTGATTTTTGTGGGTCCATATTCTGTGATTTCGGAATTTAAGGAGATGTTGGTTGGATTTTTTTTCTTCTCGAATGCAGAGATTGGTTCAGCACCAGCCGACGCAGTACCCAACGTCGGAGGAGCTGAGTATTGGGAAGATCAAGTTCAAGGCCTTCGATCTGGGAGGCCATCAGATCGCACGACGTGTCTGGAAGGATTACTATGCGAAGGTCTAAATCTCATCGTCTAAACTTTACCTTTCATTATGCAAGTGGGAAAGAAAATAATCTGTTATCACTAGGTATTGTCTTCCTTGGACCTGTTTCAGGTATTCTACTTCATTAGATTAGAGTTGTTTTCCACCGAGTGCTGCTGAAAGAAAAATACCTTCAACTAGAACAGGGATTTATTGCTACTGTTATTAATTTTGCCTTCTTGTATGATATCTTATCCATAGGAACCTCTATTAGAAGTTTTTGTTCTTAGGTTTTGCATATGACATCTTCTATATCAGATATCTAAATCCATGTAGGTGGTCGTCAAACACGAATCAGTTGGACTGGTATGTATAGGTTGGTACATACCAATCCGACCAAGTATCAATATAGAAAAGTATAGTGGAATACCAGTACAATACCATCATTTTGATTTATTATTATTTTATTCGATGACATCTGATAATACAGGTTGTATACCATCAAATAAGCCACCAAAATTGATATCGAATTGGAAAATCCTTATGAAGTTGTCGCCCAAGCACATCCTTGTCTTGTTCGATACATATGCTGTGCGACAATCTGCTTTAAATGGTGCAACATGGTTGTTAGCCTGGGGTTGGAGATTCAGAATCCATTGGAGATTAATGAGTTGTTCTTCCATATCCTTTTGCGAGTCCAGCAGAATATGTGCTCTTGTCACTTCTGCATGTGTGCTATTGGATGATTATATTTCATTGTTAGGATGGTAGTAAGAGAAGATAGAGACTGTTAGTAATTAACTTGTGAAATTTTTGGTTACTATTGGATGTATTTGAGGCTGGAGCTCTATACTTCTTCGGAAGAATAAAAATAGTGAGGAGCAATTAATGGATCTAGCCATCAAGGCCTGTAGAGGTCCTTACTCTCATGGTCCATGGTTTTCAAGCCTAAATAACATGCTAAAATATTGGCCAAAAATTGGCTGGCCCTTCAATTGAATTGAGACCGAACTCACCTGGAAGTCCTTTTAAGCGAAATGTATCCCATCCTTGGTTTACAGTGAACATGATCAGGTGGTTTGAGGGCAATTTTTGGAAGGCAAAACTAAAAGGTGCAAGCTTGACTACTAGTATGTGATCTAATGAGCTTTTATGGTCTGGAAGATTCCTCAAGTTGGTACTACATGAAACTAAAAATATCCTCCCAAGTTTTCACAAGACTAAAACAGTAGATGCCTTATTTAGATTCTGAAATTTTTGTTTGGTTGCTATATGGGGAAGTTTCCAAACCTGGTGAATCAGTGGACCACATGACGAAGTCTTTGAGCCCTTTTAATTTCACTTGTGTCTTTTTGGCTTCTAATTAGGATTTTTATTTTACTTTTAACTTTTGATTTATATGTCGTAGGATCAATAATCTGTTTCATATCTTGTTTGACATTTGATCATATCTCTTCAAACATTCATGGATGTTGCACCTGTCTTGTTTGCCCTTGATAGAATAGTCTTGAGGGCAACTAGGTATCTTTAGCGGGAATGAGTTGTTGAATGTTAAAAAAAATTATGACTTACAAAGAGACAATCACTCTTATGATTATGAATACGGATGACTTTTTCATAGTTAGATGAATGTAGAAATTTTGCAGGTGCTTAGAATTGTGTTTCCTTTTCTTTTGTGCTTTAAGGTGTTCCAAATGGATTGCCATCTTTTCTGAACAGGTGGATGCAGTGGTGTATTTAGTAGATGCATTCGACAAGGAGAGGTTTGCAGAGTCAAAGAAGGAGCTCGATGCTCTTCTCTCCGATGACGCCTTGGCAAACGTTCCGTTCCTCATTCTGGGTAACAAGATCGACATCCCATATGCTGCATCTGAAGACGAGCTGCGCTACCATCTTGGCCTGAGCAACTTCACTACCGGTAAGGGTAAGGTGAACCTTGTTGATTCCAACGTCCGCCCTCTCGAGGTTTTCATGTGCAGCATTGTTCGTAAGATGGGCTATGGTGATGGCTTCAAGTGGCTCTCCCAATACATAAAGTAGGATTCTGCCTTTACCACAGATGTCTCAGATACAGAAACTAAAGGTTTGACTTGCTGTGATTCTTCTTTGGATATCTCTCTTTTATAGTGGATTTTAGACACTTAATTCAGTGGATCATGGAGAAGGCGAAAGTGGCATGTGTTGTCAAAACCATGATGGATCTGGATTGTGGTTTGAGCCTTTTGCATACTTTGAGGTCACATTCCTTTCTCAAAGCTAACCTATCATGAACATCTCTGCTTGGGTTTAGTTTTCTTTTGATTTTTTTTCTAATATTATATTTATCTCCAGTTTTGACCCACTTTATATGGCTTTTGAGTTTTGATTTATATAAGGGGGTGTCCTTAGTTGTTAACCAAAGTAGTGGGAGAGAAGCAATGAGAAAAAAAAATACAATACAATCGTCGAAACATTGAGAATAATTTGATGTTTTTTAATTTCAATTTTTAGCATAATTTAAAAAATTACCTAATTTGGAAGAAAAGTTTTTTTGTTGCGACCTCATGTAGGAAATGAAAATGAAAATATTTAGATGAAAATTTGTGATATTTAGTTTTGACCATCAAACAAATATTATTAGAAATGATACTAAAAAAACGTGACAACACGTAAGTGTAGCTTTTTTTTTTTTGAATTACTGAGTAAACATAAACATCTGACTATTACCTTTCCTTGAATTTGGTTGTTTCGAATTTTAGATGCTCTTGCTTTAATATTTAGTTTCTCGTTCCTAAATAATATCAAATAAAGGGTTCTTTCTTTATTTTTTATATGTCATAATAATTTTTTCCTATTTCTGACCCTTTTTTATTGAATTTTATATGTTATTGATTTAATTAAAATTATATACAATTTAGATGCTCTTGATTTAATTTTCAGTTTCTCATACCTAAATAATACTTCTCGAAGGGTTCTTTCTTTATTTGTTCAAATTTCTTAATAAACGTTTTTTGTATGCGACCCTTTTTTTTGTTTTGTTTAAATTTTAGATACTTTTATATGCTCTTGATTTAATTTTCAGTTCATTTTACCTGAATAATATTTCTTAAACATTTTTTCTTAATAATATTTTTTGTATCTGACCCATTTTCTTTGTTCTATTTAAAATTTAGATTTATTGATTTTATTAATTATATATAATTTGGATTTTTTTGGCAAATATTCATATTTTCGGTATTTCTCAATCTATATTCCCATTTTACATTTTCCTAAACACTATCCTAAACTGTCTCTTATAAATATTTTCACCTGTCATAATATTCTCACACGTTATAGTATTTTAGTCATTACAATAAAAATATTATAAATGAACTAAATAAATCACTAACACATTAGAAACCATTTGATAATTGATATATCGATTCAAACAGGTATTAACATTACTGAAATATAAATAAAAAATTAGTTTGTTATAGTATCTTTATCACAACAATAAAAACATTACAAAATGTACTCGAAAAATTCAAATGAACGTCAAACCTCAATCGAATCAATTTTAGTCTAAAAATATGATGTCATAATAGTCCACGAGTGAAGTCACTTATGATAATTTTTTAATGACATTTATAATATTTTTAGTATCTTAGTAAAAATGCGGTAGATGCAGTTGAAAAATACTATAAACGAGCTAAATTAAACACTCTAGCAATCTAAAATTGGTAAAAAAAGAAAAGGGTGAAAAAAATCGATGAAAACATTTTTAAAATTAAGGATATTATTGAAGGAAAAAAAAAGAGGGATACGGATTGGAAAATGTTTAAAATAAATACTTTCTAGGAAAATCGTTAAAAATTATGCTCTTCATATAAATTTTCCTCGTCCCTAAATAATTTCTATCCCCTCTTGTTTAGTATTTTTCTTTTTAGAAATCATTTTCGATTTGGGTCTCACTTTTACATTTATTTAATAGGTTCGGATCGGATCGGATCGGACGGTCATTTCGGGGTTCGGTGACGAGTCTCAAATCTTTGCGGCCGTTGGATCTACGAGCCAGTCGTATCACGTGGTGAAGACTTGGATCTCCACCAAGCACTCGCGGCCTCGCTCCATTATAATTGGCAATACTAGGAATCGCGGAGAGAAGAATCGTCTCCCCTACTTGATTCAGAGAACAGAAGCGAGAGAGAGAGAGAGAGAGAGAGAGAGAGAGAGATGGAACGATCTCAGATCTGGTTCGCTCTCGGAACCGTAATTCTAGCTCTGCTCTTCGCCTGCGTCCTTGCCGACGACGACGTCTTCGTCCTCACCGAGGCCAACTTCGAGAAGGAGGTCGGCCAGGATCGCGGCGCCCTAGTCGAGTTTTACGCCCCTTGGTAATTCCTGAACCTACGTCTCTCTCCCCGAACCCTGTTAATTCTCGATTCTTCTCTGTTACTTCCGGATCGGTGAATCTGGTGGAGTTTTTGCGGTCTTCCAATTCATTCGGCAGAGTCCTTCGATCAGATCGGACTCTAATGCATGGATCTTGTGGTTTGTGTGTTGGATGAGGGGGCGTTGGCTCGATCTCGATGGAGCACACGATTAGTTTCCTTTACTGCCTTTTCATCTAACGAATTGCTTTGCTTAGTTTCTTCACTAAATGTCGTCTTAATAAGAAGTGTACTGTTGTTTCCATCTGATTGGTGGTCCCGATGATGTCGAAGGCATTTTGCAATTGGATGCCTCAATATCTTGAAGGTCGGAGAAACGTTGATATTGGATCAGTTGAATGTGTCCTACATTTGTTTTAGTTGAAACAAATCTGTTTGATTCTTGTTTGGTGCGGAACTTGAATTGGAACAGTTGGTTTCTTCCTCTGTGATCATTGAGGTTTCTTCTGGGTGTTGGAACAGTGAGCTTCATTACGATGGTGAGAAGTCTTGAGTGACAGTTCCATTGAGGAACTACAGTATAATAAACAAAGATTCAATCTATGTTTTTTCCTTTCCGATTATGTAATTCTAGTCTTTGCTTAAAAATGCTCTTGGTTGCAGGTGTGGACATTGCAAGAAGCTTGCTCCTGAATATGAAAAGCTGGGCTCAAGCTTTAAGAAGGCTAAATCTGTTTTGATTGGGAAGGTTAGGCTTATTCTTATTATCTTAGTTTTACTAAATGATTTATACTTGAGGTTCCATTTTCTTTTCTCCTGCATTTGTTCATTGTTCTGTATGTAGCATGTGGTCTATCATTCTGCTATGAAATAATTATAATAAATAAAATGCTTGATAAGATTGACAGGGCTTCTTATACTGTCCTAGCAACTGCTGACTATGCATTGGCTCTGATTTTAGTGCTCACTTGTCCTATTTAGGTGGACTGTGATGAACACAAGGGCTTATGCAGCAAGTATGGAGTTTCAGGTTATCCAACAATTCAGTGGTTTCCCAAAGGTTCCTTAGAACCAAAAAGGTCAGTATAATTCCATCTTAGGAGCACATTGCTCAATTAACCACTCGGTATTAGCTTCAAAATTTTTGTTTTCTGTGGAATAGTCTTTTTCTTGTGATAGGATATAAACTAATTACTAATAATTATGTAGATATGAAGGCCCACGAACTGCAGAATCACTTGCTGAATTTGTGAATACTGAAGGAGGTACAACTTTGTTTTGATATGCTATTAGTGCTTGTAATCTAGAATGTAGAATTTTTGCACAGATTGTCACTGTCAGAGATGTAATGCAGTTTTGGTTAGGTTTGATACTTGTTGACTTTTGCATGTATCATCAATTTCAATGATCATTTCTTATCTTCTTCTGTCATATGAATTGACTTTTGAGTCATTTGTGGACTTACTATTGCAGGAACAAATGTGAAGCTGGCATCTATCCCTTCCAATGTAGTAGTTCTCACCTCTGAGACATTTGACCAGATCGTCCTTGATGAAACTAAAGATGTCCTTGTGGAATTCTATGCACCATGGTTGGTTTACATTCTCAGTGCTCTTCGTCAATGATAAATGGCACGAGTTACATTGTCTTATCCATTATTAGATTAACTGATTATTCTTAACATGTCAACAGGTGTGGACACTGCAAGCATCTTGCCCCTGTGAGTATATTATCGAATTGAAATTCCTAGTACAGATGACTTGAAGCCAAATTTCATCATATATTTGATCATTTGGATCTGATCTGTTTTATTTTAATGCAGACTTATGAGAAGGTAGGCTCTGCATACAAATTGGAAGAGGATGTTATAATTGCTAACTTGGATGCTGATAAACACAAGGATTTAGCAGAAAAGTAAGTTTAATCATGCAATTATAACATTGAATATCCAGTTAAATCCTCTATGATTTTCCATTCTAAAATTGTTTCTTTATGTTAAATCTGCTTAGAATTGTTGAACCACCATAAATGGTGCATTAGTGGAGGTCTTGTACATTGGGCTTGTCCCTTTATTTCCTTTGAGACCTTGCTGACCAGGGATGAATCATGGTAATAGCCCTTAAGGGGATCAGACTCCTTTTGCCTCTGAGCCAAAAGAGCTGAAGGAAAAACCATCCATGCATATTTGATAGTACTTAATGCGAACAGCTCAGTTGACTTGATGGACTTGCTTTATTTCCCCTGTTCTACATTTTTTTTCATGTCCCTTTGAGTAATTTCTCTTTCCAGCATATCTATCGTGTGGAATCCTACGCTAAATTTCATTATTGCTTGTGGTCCTTGGCTTTTGCTTCAACAACTAAACCATCTTACCCAGAATTCCACAATGACATATTTTTTTGGTCAGGCTTTGTGGATTATGTTCACTGCATTTTGTTGTGCTATCAAACCAACTTGGATTCAACTTGTTTCACTAGTCTAGGATTTCAGTGTTCTTTATTCACTGGAAAGTTCTCTTACAATCTCTTGGAGTTTTGTATCATGTCATCGGACTACTGATATTTTCATGGTCAAGAATTGATCCAAGGCTGTAGTTGTAATTTTGCTGCATGTTCCTTTTGATCTTTTGAAGTCTGCTAATGTCTCTTGTTTGTGTTGATTGATGTGATAGTATATGATAAGTTTAATTAAAAACACTGAATTTGTAGGTTTTTAGATTTGGTATTGTTGGAGGTGCTTTAACTTTTCATGAACCATTTTAACATAATATCATAGTTTTATGCCTTCAATATGTCCAACACAATGAGATGATTTTCTGCTAATTCTTATTTATTTCTTCTGGTACTTCTGTATTTTGATGTGAGTTTTCCTAGTTGGAAATTTGAGAAAAAATGACATAAATATATAATTACTAGCAACCTTATCCCAGTCACGTTACATCAACAATGTTTTGGCGTATAAAATGCTTCTGAGTATTGAAATGAAACTATGTGCACTCTGAAGTATGAATGATATACTATATATATTATATTCTAAAAAGTTTGTGATGAATTTGTTGACTAATATTACTTCGATTCTTATGATGTATATATTTTTTTATTCTGCATTCGTTGTCAAATTAAGATGTAGGGTGTTTTGCCATATGATATTTCAACTACTATGATATTGCGTTGTCTTTGTTTTTTAAATCTGATACAATTAGTGGTTTTCTGAGTGATTCCAAATGAAATGTCCACCATGTAAAATGGACATTAATTAGGCATCTCTGGTCTCATGCGCACCAGTACACCTGTTGTTTTTCAGGTACGGAGTAAGTGGTTATCCTACACTGAAGTTTTTCCCCAAGGGCAACAAAGGTGGTGAAGACTATGACGGTGATCGCGACTTAGATGACTTTGTTAAATTTCTTAATGAGAAGTGTGGCACCAGTCGGGATGCGAATGGCCAACTTACTTCACAGGTTATGGGTGATAGATCATAATGGTATTTACGAATTAGGTTAGTTGCTTCTTTCTAACAAATGGAGTTTAATTAATGTAGGCTGGCATTGTAGCAAGCTTAGATGCTTTAGTGAAGGAATTTGTGAGTGCCTCTGATGATGAACGGAAGACAATCCTGTCTCGGATGGAAGAGGAGGTTGAAAAACTTACAGGTTCTTCTGCAAGGTAATGTCTTTTTTCTAGTGTTTTAACTCTAGCAGTACTGCTGATTGTGACTGAGAAAATATGGTGTTAGCCGGTTTGCTTTCTCTTACTGCCCTGATGTCAGTATGTCACTTTCGGTTACTTGTTTCTCTCCTATGACCAATATACTTACAGTATATGATTCGGATCGGTAAGAAATGACTTGTACCTTTTTTTTCTTATAATCTGTTGAAATGGAAAAACAGACCCTCCTGATTTCCTGGGTTCATGGTTCAGGGTCTCGTTACTTATGATTTCTCTTTATTAAGTCTATTCTAATAGTATTTAGTGACCAATAACTTTGGAAAGCTGACCTTTTCAACAGCTGTTCGCTGTATCTCCTACTTCTTTCAGACTACTTGCCATTATTATGTTACCGGTGTGTCGAGTGAAGATTGGGTCTTTCGTAGATGATCCACTTGGATACATTGCCAACTGGGCCAAAACTTTCTAGTGTTGTTGCAGTATTTTTGCTCATTGCATCACCAGCCATTCCGTCACAAACTCTTTTCATTTGCTTTTGTAAACATTCTGTAATGTTGCACATATCAACAATTTCTTCACATATAATTGCTGTATTTGGCATCATATACATTCCACTGCTCCACATCCTCCAGACCTAATAGAAAACAAGTAAAACACATGTACATAACAAAACCGAAATGCAACCAGAACAAATATAAATATGCTATTTGCCTACTTGTGACACTTTTGTTGTGCAATTACATGTGTTTTTGGTCCTGAAAATTCAGGTATGGCAAGACATACTTGAAGGCTGCAAAAAGCTGCATCGAGAAAGGCGCCAACTATGCTACTAAGGAAATCGAGCGGCTGCAACGCATGTTGGCTAAGGTGAGGGGAAAAGGAAAAAAAAAATGAAGGATTTGTCTTTGTTTTTAACATCTATTCACTTGAAATGCTAACATGGAAAAACCTTGTCTGGTTTGTGTTTAACAGTCAATTAGTGCTTCCAAGGCAGATGAGTTCATCATCAAGAAGAACATCCTGTCCACTTTCTCAGCCTAATCTAAGATTTTGCTCTCAAAACATTTCCGAGAGGAATACTTACAGCCGAGAAGTGGGTCCCACATGTTAGAGATTCCACTTCGAAATCAACTCATCCCTTAACTTAGGATTGGATATTTTTATTGTGATCTTTACAATCAAACTGATGTCATCATTTATGATTATATGGTTGAACTATAGTCAAAAGGGTCTGTCACTGAGACATCAAAAAGAAAAAAGATTGCTGGTTGGTAGCATGCTTTGAACTTTGATTCACTGTATGATAAATAAATAAAAAATGCAGGATCATATATGAATTAGTCGGATTTCAGTCCCAAGATAGAGATCTGCTGATCCACGTCTTGTTTCATCCTCGCTCTTGCTCTTGCGCTCCAAAGAGCGTAGATAATTGCCTTGATATCTTTTAACGGAAAAAAAAAAAAGATGAGGGCTATTGGTTGACGTTGGAGATGGATCTACCAAACTTAGATACTCATTTCTCATCTCTACACTCCATTCTCTTTTGTGCAATACCCCCAACTATTTATCATGATTCAACTCTCTTGCCATGAGTTCGCAATCAACACAAGCGAGAATCTTAATCTAATCAATGTGTTGGGTCAATTGAGACTCGGCATGTAGAATCCAATAAGTTAACAGTCGGATCTATCATGTCAACATGAGTTGAGGGGAGTGTTTTTTTGAAAATATTTCTTCAACAACTCACTTTATAAATATGTCAGCATGAGCATGAGTTCAGGGAAATATTTTTTGAAAGTATTTCTTCAAAATTTCCGTCCTTCCTATCAAGGTTCACAATACCGTACCGTATCGATATTTTGACTTGGACTCGGTACCGGTACATATACCGAGCGGTACACCCATGTGTATCGAGTATTGTAGCACTGCTATAGTGCTACAGTACATTCGGACCGATAACAGTCGGTCCGTGTACCGATAATCTATCGGATCGATATGTACCGTCCATACCGGACGATATGGCTCGGTACGGCAGACCCTACTTCCTACACAAATTGACCGCAAAAGAAAAAGACACTGACGCTAATTTTGTCTTCTGACATATTACCGTTAACCACAGAGTCTCTCTCTCTCTCTCTCTCTCTCTCTCTCTCTCTCTCT